CGTGGAAGCGGGCATTGAGAAACAATGACGGTGAAGGACTTCGACAATCAAAACGGCGTCAGCGCCGAGCGGTCATTAAATGTCTTTTTTATGGAATGATTATTTAGCAAATTATCAACCTACATGCATATGTTTAAAGCTAAAATTGTCAACTCATCTAAAACTTTTGTTGCTAATGTTCCTAATAAATTCGACAGATACAGACTACAAAGTATTTATTGAACCGCATCAGTCTACGAACTTTTTGATAACCCTCGTATACAGTGAAATTTAAGTTTATTAAATGGAGAAAAATATTTCGATTATAGTCACTGTGTGAATTTCACAAAATTGTTAATGTATTTCAAGCCATATAGTTTCAATCAAGAGTCTTCAGAATGAGTTTATCAAACCATACTTTACTTCTGGGATGAGCATATATAGACATCCTATTCTAAATACAAATTACATTGCAAGTAGAGAAAAAAATATAGAAGTATAAATTTTGACGTTTTAAAAGACCACCTTGAAATAACGAATCACCAATTGTGAAATCCAAACTAAAGACAATAATAATTATTATAATCGGGGCGTAAATTTGTTTTTGTCCTTTCTGTCTGTTTGTCTGTCTGTTGTTAAGTTAATCCTTTGCCATAACGTTTGAACCTTGAGAGATAGAAAGTTCATATTAGGTATGCATACTCCACTAATTAAGCTCTTTCAAATAACAACAAGGACTGTGACTTATATGATAAAAAAGCTTTTTCTAACTTTTGTAAAACTTTTGAATCATAGCAGATAGAGACTCCATATTCGGTAAGCAAACTCCACTAATTACGTTTTTTCAAATGACACCAAGGTCAATGATTGTGACTTTGACTGTGTCCTTTATGCTAAAAGTAGCTTTTTCGAACTTTGTTGCCCCAATTATAATGTAATTTTACTCATCGAGTACATACATTTATGATTGTTGAACTGTACACCCACTTTAAAACTTAAACATTATGAAATAACAATAAATTAACTTCCTGATTTTTGTAAACTTGAGTGGTAAACCTGTGAAAACATTTTTAAATCAGTGAATTTTAAAGTCTGAACAGTTTTCCCTTGAAACTACTGTGAAATGAAGCAAAAACTATACACCTTTTACAGACACTGCATGAACGTTTACTTTTGACATCAAGTTTATCTTCAAAGAAAATGTACATGTACCCTGACTTCATTAAACATTCTTAGTTTACTCTATGGTGGATGTAAAACATGATAGTAATCTGTTGAACATTGTTGCAACGCACTTTGAAAAAAAAATTTCAAGGTGCGTTAAATTTGGGACCAAATCAACGCACTTTGATAAAATAAAATTTCTTTTCAAAGTGTGTTGATATCGACCATATTAAAGCACTTTGAAAAAAAGTGTTTATGGCTTTGTCAATATTCTTGAAAATCTTGGGTATGATACATTGTAAATAAATTGAACCTTTTGGTTCGATTTGAATTTTTATACTTTGAAAATTCTTTCTCTCCTATATGTTTCCTGTACTTAATTTTTCCAGTTTACATGCATTTAATGTAAACTAAAATTTATTGAAAGTTTTCCATATACATATGTTTGGGTGTATCATAGGCATCTGTACTGGGGGGGGGTTAGTCACACCAATGTTATGCAAATATATACATAATATAGGAATTAAAAGTTGTGCCTTACCTTGGGGTGGGATATGTTCCACCTTCAATTTGCTACCTAAGTAAAAAAAAAGTTGGTCTGAGAGACCTTCTTTATACTCTTTTCTCCTTGTTCTCGATGAGGGTAATCAATCATTGTAAATTAAAATGTTTTTCGAAAGATATATTTATTACAAACAGATTCTCCTAATTACTAAACTCTAAGTCAAGATATTTTATAATATACATTTTTTTCTCAAAGTGCATTAAATGTCCACAAGATAAAAATGTTGATGTACACTTTTAACACACTTTGAAAAAATTTTTTTAAAGTGCGTGTAGTGTGTCCCAAATTTAACGCACTTTGAAAAAAAATCTTAAAGTGCGTTGAGTTTGTCCTAATTTTAACGCACTTTGACAGTTCACGGTAGCTCAGTCGGTAGAGCACTCGTTCCGTGATCGGGAGGTCATGAGTTCGTATCTCGGCCGCGACTGACCTAGTCGATAAAATAGGTAGCAACTGTTCCTTCGCCATGCGTTCGGCACTTTGAAGTGAAAGTTGCGGGTCCTTCGGATGAGACCTTAAAAACCGAGGCCCCGTCTCAGCGGCAGGCATTGGCACGATAAAAGATTCCCTCCTGCTCAATGGCCCTGAGTGCCGAGTAAAGGTCAAAATTTGAAGCCCTTCACCGGCATACGGTGACGTCTCCATATGAGTGAAAAATTCTCGATAGGGACGTTAAATAATATACAATCAATCATTAACGCACTTTGAAAATTTTTTCAAAGTACGTTGCCACGGAGCATCAAGGAAGTCGGTTGGTATCATAAGATACACTTAGGAATGATATATGCGACTGTAATAAACGGATCCCAAAGATAAACGATATGTGAAAACGTTTCTTACACAAACTTTTAATATATTAAGAAATATACATGCAGTGTTAGACTGAATTTAATACATGTATTTATACACATTCTTATGTTAGTTTTAAATCAATAGAAATTTTAATAATGGATAAACAGATTAAATTTCAAAAAGAAGTATAACTTATAAAATACACTGTATATATATATACGAGGGTCGTTAGAAAAGTCCGCGGACACATTGAATTACGGAAAATATATTGTGTACTGTGAAGTATGACCTATGTCTGAATAAATTCCTGCATTTTGTTTATTGGTATGTAAAAAATCAGGTCCTTATAATAAAATCTTGAAAATTTACAACGATTTTTACCATGAGGTCATGGGATTCACGGAGCAATCACTTGACGTAAGGCGACGTGACAACCAGATTTCAACCCGTTAAGCTTTGTCGCAGTTCTATAAATCTTTCATTTCTTCAGATTTTTCTTATCTTTTTTCTACTTTAAAATTGAATATGTATATCAAGACATGTTACTTTTCTTCTATAATGTCTTTTGTACTGATTCGGATATTACTGAGATCTTAAAAAATCTATGCAGTTAATCGATCAGGTATGGAAACTATGCAAAACCATATAGGCGCAACGCAACGTCCATGCGATACGGGGTATTGAAGTATCGATGGAGTTAATCATTCAAAATGTCACTCCTTCCATTCTTATGAAGCTACAACCATTTGAAACTTGTCCTTTGTAGGTGTAGGGAATTCCCTGCAGCATCTTGAACATTTATATCTCTGTTTAGATATTTTCCAGTCTGCATACATAATTTTTACGCAGTGCAGTGCTCCATGACGCTCAATGACGTTCCAATTTTTGGCTGTGTTTTTACGCGTTGATCATTTGTAAACGGCTATAAAACAGTCATATACCCTCCAATTTAGCTCAAAATTTCTCCCAGTGACGTTTCATGAATACTTTAGCGGCAGGTAAAATATCATTAATATCTTTGCTCTGCAATTGTCCAATTTTTAATTTTAATAAAGAGTATTTGTGATGTAAACGTGTCAAAATGTAGCATGCTCCGTGAAGCAAGTTTTATCAAAATAAAAAAGCTGTATATTTTTCAATAATCACCGGAGAGCAACAAATTCTTGTATATTTATTGAAAAAAAGGTAAAGATTTTATCTGGAAAGTTTGACTGGTTTCGTAGAAATAGCGCGCTCACAATTGAACTTGTCCGCGAACTTTTCTAACACCCCTCGTATATACAGAAATAGAAAATATTGCTTTCGCACCACCAGAAGAATATGATATTTTATTTTTCAAAACTTGCATATGATGGATTTGAAATGTTTTTATGTTACTTAAGCAAGAAAAAAAGCGTTTTAATGTCTAAATTGATATAAAATTAGAATGTTAATGAAGCCTGACCATTTCATAGAATAAATGAAAATCGTATCCACACTTTTTTGAAGGAATAAATTTCTATTTTTTCTTTATGATTGTACTGATTAAAAAACGATTTTAAAAATCTGTTTATGCTGTATTTGATCCTAGAAGAGTGTGCTTAAACGGACAATATAATGTCTTCAGGGGCTTTCGTTGACTAGCAGATGATATATTATAGTCAATCGCTGCATATTATTTAATTTTAAATGGGAGACTGCATCTAGTGTTAACTTCAGTACCATCATCTGTAATTAGCAACTGCATATCTAGGCAAAATGGTGTCCAATGCATGTTTGGGAATTAGTTTTCGGACAAGAAAGTTATTTTTGGGTTTTGTCATGACACCAAGACATTTGTCAATCCTAATGTATTCGAAAAGATGGAGTATTATATATACTAACACCGATACATGAGGCAAATGTTCAATTCACAGATAAGAATAATAAGTGGTGCGTAAGCAATGCCAAGCATAAATATTTATATAAGCTTTCATAAAAACATGATTTATTATTTGTACAACACTTACGTATTTATAATATAAAAGTTTCAGTAATGTTTCAAAATATATTTGCAATCGTAAATGAATCTTGCATAATCGGTAATCCTCATAAAACGTTTATATTGTTTATTTCATGTATTGTATCACTTTTATTTCCCCTGAATAACACAATCCTAACCACAGCCTACCCTCAGTATCTACACTCAATCCATAAGGACTATTTAGTTCACAACTATCAACACATCTAAGGAATTGTCCATTTTCATCAAGAATGTGTAGACAGTCATTGTTGTAATCCGCTACAATAATCTGACTCATAGAGTCTGTTACTATCTGGCTAGGACAAAATACCTCCTCTTTTCTGGCAGGTGTCCCATCGTATCGAAATCGAACACTTCCAACCTTATCCAACACAATCACCATGTTGGCATTAGGATCAGAGACACATATATCTCCATTGTTGTTTTCTGATAAAAGCAGTTTAAATTTACCCCTTTTAAAGATTTCTTTTCCGTTGCCATCTTTATATATTTCCAGTTTCACCATTTGTCCTTGGTAGAGGACTTTGTTTTGTTTTGGCTTCCATTATACAGGTTGACCAATACGTCACCTGATCTGGTAGCACAAAGCCCCCTTGGTTTCCAGCCTTCTTGTGTAGTGACTAATACCTCAATTGTCCCTTGTCTGAAAATATTCAGAGTTCTATTTTTATAATCAGTGTATATCAGATCACCCTCTTTTGTCAGTGTGATGTCTGTAGGCCTTTCCAAAGAGGCAGTCTTGACAAATTCCTGTACTGACCCGTGTATGTCAACACAGTATATGGCCGTGTCCTTCCCACTGATCCAAGCTTTATCTGCTCCTACACAGACCACCGTGAGAAGAGGTTTAACTTCAGTTGGAATTGTGGCTATAACTTTGTCTAACTCGCTCGTAAACAAATCGAGTGTATGTGTCAATGTTGACATGTAACCTCCTACTTCTATTTTAAGTTCACTTCCTTTGACCATGTTTGCATTCAGAGAAGGAATTTCAAAATGGATATCAGTTTTTATGTCCCTATATTCAATTATATTTGATTTGTAGTTTATGACTTCAGAAAGTCTGTTATACTCATAATTTCTTTATTTCGCTCAACTGTTCTCTTCATTTCTAGAATAAAAGATTTAAGGTCATTTTGATGTGTTTCTATAGTACGTAGATGATCGACCTTCATTGATTTAATCAGACAGCAAAATTTGTTGAAAATGGTGTCAACTTCCTTATGCCATAATATCCTGTGCTGTTCTGTTTCTTCCTCTAACTCCTCATACCTTGCAGTGCATTTGGAGGTTCTAACTTTGGCTTCCTTCTCACTTTTCTCACACTTTGGAATGATAACAGTTTCAATTTCCTTCGTATCGTTTTCAATTTCTTCTTTTTTGTTTGCCACTACCTTTGATAATTCTACGCCATCATCACCTTTATGGTTGTCAAGGATACACTTGAAGCACACAGGTCCATCACACTGTTGACAATAGGCCTCGCATACCATTGGTTTCTTCCTGTTCTTAAAAAGAACTATTTCATGAGGGAGGGACTTACGGCTATCTACATGTTTACTGACACAATCCACACATAAACTAACTTGACACATTGTTACAAAACTGCTCGGTTGGATTATAACAGAGGTCACATGTGATGACATCTTGAGCCCAGGAGATCGGAGTAGCCATTTAAAAACTCACTTGGAAAAGACAGAGATAAAAACGTTAACATATCTGTCACTATGAGATATCTATGTATATAGTACATTTGTACATGTACTTTAGACACAAAAGTTTGAAGTGTATCAATTAAACTTACCTATTCAAATGAATGAAAATGACCAGAATTCATGTAACATGTCATTCTACATTTAGTTAACATCAAGAATAAATGATAATATTTCCCAATTCACGACACATGCCCTTATATCAGTTTTTAGCTTTTGGTGTTTGATATTTTGCTTCCTTAATTGTTTCTTACCTAGTATTTCCTAGGATCAAAATGTACAGTGAATTAACTAATGAATTTTTAAAGATATTTATGTGCCTCTCTGTTAAAAATGTAACATTTCCACTTTAAAGAACTACATGTATACATATATGACAAGTATCTCAAATAGCTGCTTCAACATGTTCAAATTACTTCAACAAGTTTCTAGTTCTGTTTGTAATTATATGTTAAAGATTCCAATTCAATTTGCGAGTTTAGATACTAATTTTGGAGTTCAAAATGTTAAACAACCGCCTAATTTGGGAGAAAACATTGAAATGTTCAAAACACTGTCTCTTAAGACACTTATTTGCTTGAAAATGGTCATTTTGGTTTGATAATTTCTCAAGTAAAATTAAACTTTTGTTATATACGAAAATTATGCTCATTTATTTTGGTCGTTAAATATACTCTATATCTATGTATATATATGTCGGTGTTTGAACAAAGAAGCAAGGGCTGATCTTGAAGCTTGGTCTGTTTTCATCAATAGTTTTAATGGTAGGTCATTGATAATAGATGATAGGTGGGAAACCTCTGAAACACTATCTATGTTTACGGATGGAAGTGACCTAGTGTTTGGGCGCACATCTAAAACTAAGTGGTTCTTCGGAGAATGGCCACAAGATTAGTGCCAGTTTCACATTACAGTCAGAAATTGCTTCCTATTGTTGTAACTTTAGAGCTTCGGATTTTGATTTCAGAACTAAACTGATTAATAACTATATTTTCTAGTAAGCAGCATTAACAAACTAAACCAGTGTATCAGCAGTTCATTTAAGATAATGCTTATAGCGGCAGCCATTCTGCAGACTTTTGTTTCAAATCCAACATGGCGATGTCGACCTAGAAAAGTTATTTACTAGCACAAGGATACACATTTAAAGTAAAGGGATATCAAGACGTCACAAAGCTTTTTGTAATTCGCAACATGCTAAAAGGTATGAAAAGTAAATATTACGTACCGGAGATACAAGGTTGTCTATAACGCCGTCTATTCTAAGAAGTCAAACACAATAATGTGGTGAATAATAATTCCCCACCTTTGATATCTATTGAAACAAAATTGATGATATCTCTCAATTGTTCAATTTTTCTGATTCTGCATTATATGTTTATATGCATGACATTTTGTGTTTTTTCATATAGCCATTTATAATGTAAATAAATGGCATTTTGCAATTCACATAATATTATTTTTGTTTCTTTGTAACAAACAGAGTTAATCTATTGTCTGTGGGTTTACATAAAGTGCTTTGAAATTGATTTGAATGTTTTTTTTTGTGAAATGGGACAAACTCAAAGGTAAAGGTGAAAAGGTCAAATCTTGTGGTACCCAAAGTAAGGTCTTGTCACAAGGAATGTTCACATATTGAATTTGAAAGACATAGCTACAATAAATGAAAAGTTATGGTAAAGGTTAAAGTTTTTGCGGAGAAACAGACATACAGACGGACACGATAAAACTATATATACCCCCGAATCTTCGATTACAGGGACATAAAAAGAAAAGGTCTTCAATTAACTTTTCATATTATGATACAGTATAAAGAAGACGTTACAAAAATGAAAATGTTTGTTCTGATTTTCATATATCATTTCTCTGAAAAATATACTCAGAACAGGGTAAAATCGTGGAGTAAAACAAGAAATAAGAAATGTAATGAATACTGTGTGTTAAATCAAAAGGTTATGTCTACATGTATAGTTTTTAAATTAGAATGTGTATTTTACACTAACCCATAGCATTACAGCGCATATTTTTAGGTGCTTTACCCACCCACCCCCTTATTTATTATTTAGGGGGAAGTTGATTATAAACAAAAGCAACAAAAAAACTACCCTACCTTTATTTTTCTATAAGGAGGGACTAAAATTAAGCTTAAAATAATCTACTATTCTACTAATTTTTAACTGTTACTCTGCTACAATACTTTCAAGTATACCCCCATCAATATTTAAAGTATGCTTTAATCATGGCGAAGTAAATTATGATATGATTGAACTTGTGTGAAGACTTAACTTCATTTCAATATTTTATCTAGAGCCTCTTTCAGTATTATTGAAAGGTGTAGAGTTTTATTTATATTTTTGCTTTTCATTTATTTTTTGCTTGTTTTGATTAAACGTAATTTTTTTTTGGGGGGGGGTTAAAAATTTCCTCCTCTTTCATTGTCAAATAGGATTTGCCAAACTTATACAAGCTAAAAGTTAAAATGAAGGAAAAATCAATTTTTCTATTAGAGAGTATTGGAACCCGATTGTTGCATGGTTTGATTTCTAAAAACAAGTGGAATATCATTCTTTAAGGATACACCAAAGGCTTTTTTCAAGAATTTTGTCAATTTTGAGATTTTTGGCTAAGAAAACAATGCTAATCACTGCTTTATAATGCATGAAAAATTCTTGCTGATTATTGAATGGTTTTCTAATTATTTAACAATAATCAAACATAAACACTAACACGTGTGAATTTGCCGTTATTGAAGCTTCTGATTTGGTCTGTAACTGCCTGCTACTGAAAGGAGCAATAAATCACTTTTAAAGAATCTCTTTTCACTTTAAAGGGGGTCATTTTCCAATGGGGGTCATTTTTTTTATAAGACTAACATATAAAATAATGACTCCCTAGGACACTTTTTCTACAAAAAATGATTTTTTTTCTACGGGTAGGGGGTCATTATTTGTCGTTGAAAAATGACCCCCGGTCATTATTCGACGGGGGTCGTTATTCGTCTTTACACCGGATAAGACAGATTTCACTTTACCTCTATTATGTCTTTAAATATTAAGCGCTGTGTTTTAAAAAAAATGATCTGAGGACATTTAATCACATCTTAAATCAGCTATCCATATTTCAGATCAATATGTTATAATTAATATTGTCATTGACTGATATAATTTCAACATAATTTCCGTCAGAAAAATATTATTTCATGAAAAATCTGATTTAACGAGGATCGCTCCTCAGCTTTTCAGCTGATTTAATTTCACCTCTTTTAAAAACAAAATATTTTAGTTTGTACAATAAATTTGGATTCTATAATTCTAATTTAACTACATTCAATTAAAACCCTATGATTAAATTCCGTACCGAAAACATTTAGTGAGGGACTATATTTTGTGGCGGAAGGTTTTTTTTTAGAAGAAAAAGATCAATTTTTCCTCTTTTAAAGTATCGAGTATTGTTAAGTTTGGATTCCTATTTTTACACGCATCATGCAGAAAGAGTAATTTTGTGCTGTGGAATGTTCTATGCTGGTCTTAAATTGCATTAAATGTTTGAATCAACTTTTATGAGTTATATCGACATATTTGGGAAAGAATATCAAATAAAGTATGAAAGTCCATCAGATCTGAATACAGCAACCAAAGATTCTCTTAACACACATATTGATTTTTAAGAACAATAAGTATAATATATCATTTAATATTTCAGATAATTGTGTTCAGAAAGACCTAGATCCTCCATGACATGGGTTCAAGATTTAGCAAACAGCATGACATAGAACAGTGTTTCCTATGTCAGGGGGACACAGAATTCTACTGTAACTCGTGTAAATATAACCTGTGTCTACAGTGTAAGGAGAGACATGTTATTGATCTCGATACTGTATACCATGATGTAGTGATTTACCGGGAAAAATATGAGCCTATTAAAAAACAAGAGTCATGTGTGGAACATCCTGAAAGATTTTTTGAAAACTATTGTCATACATGTGAACTTCCTACTTGTTTCCAATGTACACAGCTGAAACTTATTTCAATACCTATGTTACGCAAGTCCGTTACTGTTGCAGATGTCAATTGTATATGGCATATTTCCTGTGTGAATTCAGACCTGGTTTGGATAAGTGATAGCACGAAGAACGAACGTACATTGACAAACAAAGAAGGTGACATATTATATCGTCTAACCGACATAAAATATGATAGGTGGAGTTATGGAGCACATACCGTTGACATCAGCGGTGATCTTATTTATATAGACAGTACATTTAACATTAAAAAAGTTATCTAGCAATAACAAAGAAGAGTCAACATTGATAAAGATAAATGAACCATGGATACCCCTCTGTGTCTACTGCTCTCCCAACAGTGGAGATTAACTGGTCGGGATGCGTAGAGATGATACACGTATAGTTTTGGTTAACCGATACAATTACGAAGGACAACAAATACAGAAAATACAACACAATAACAATGGTCAGCAATTATATAATGATCCTAACTACATCACAGAGAACATCATCGGTGATGTTATTGTGTCTGACTATTGGCGTGGTGTAGTGGTGACAGATCGTGGAGGACGACATCGATTTTCTTACACAGGACCTCCATCAGGATCGGGACTATCACCATATGGAATCTGTACAGACGCTCTATCACACATCTTAGTGTGTGATTTTATCACCGGGACAATACAGATGATTGATAAGAATGGCCACTTCTTGTAAACAATCTTGACAGGTCAATTGATAGACAAACCGCTGAGCTTGAGTTATGATAGCAAAACCCATCTTCTCTTGGTTGGATCACAGAACAACAATTTGTGTACATTCAGATACATAAACAGACATAATACATGACAAGCTTATGTGCAAGAAATTAGAAAATGCTGTACAGGCCACACACATTCCGACAGAGCAATATCATATCTGACAGTCATCGTGATTAATTTTTAAGATCCCAATACAAATACTTTCATATACAGAGAGCTATTTAGGATTATTATGCATAGTGTTCAAAGGATTTTAATATATATCGTAAACACAATTTGTCGTAATGACTTTCCTTTTATTATCGTCCGCTTCCCTTAGTTCTGCAACATTTAAACCTTTGTCACCTCCATTTAGGGTTTATATTTCTCAGTTAACGTTGATTCGTTACGCAGGTGCATGCTCTACGTATGTATAACTTCTAAAATGAGGTAAATTATTGACAATTAAACAAGTTGATGAAACAAGAATACCAGCAGTTTCGATTATAGTCATCAATTTGTAAGTTCTATGGTCGATACAATGAACTTGTCAGCAAATACAATTTATACATTGAGTCAAATGCTGACTGACGTATTTTAATCATTAGGCAATTTTTACACACTGAATTGTTGACAAATTTTCCCGTTTATTCCCGATCATGATAAGGCGCACACGGTGGTTGTGACAGGTCGGCAGGGGATGCTCCATCCTCCATGGCACCTGTTCCCACCTCTGTTGTTGAGGAGGTCCATGTTTGCTCTGATCTCATTTGATTTGTTTGATGGACTTTAAAGCTTAAATACTGTTCGTTATTTCCATTTATTTCATTGAAAAGGTTAAATGTAATTGAGTGTTTAATTTTGAATTGCAGAAATTGCATTTAATTGATTCCATAATGAAATGAACGATGAACATATAGATGCAGATTTTCACAATAAAGGCCAAGGTATTGTTACAACGGAATCTTAGCCCCTTATGTTTTAGAAAATTCAGAACATGGTTAAAATTATGATAGTTTGTTGTCATAAACTTAAAATGATGCTTTTTACATAAAAAAAAACAACTGTCACTAATTTTGAATCGAAGCGTTTACTGCAGCCACAGGAGCGTGCGGAAGTTGAAATTTTCCCAGATTTCCTTAATTTCAGTGGAATTTCGTCAAATTTTAGACACTTTTCCCTTTAGAAAACATAGAGCACAAACATGCCTATCTGAGATTCTCATACACTAGATACACCTGATATATACTAGTGTATGAAATAGATAAATTTGGTGGATAGGCAAGCTCGTGCTCAATGTTTTCCGAAGCAGAATGTACCAAATAATCGATGAAAATTTGAATAAAAATGAAAAATTCGGAAATTGACATATTTCTCATCTTCTTGTAACCTCTGTGTACCCCATATCTTTGAACGAATACTAATTTGGGTGCAGGGTGACAAGTGGTTTTCAGTTGATAACTTATTGGATTATTCTTAAAGATACCCAAAAAGGGGGCCAAAAGAAGTTTTAGCCTATTTCTTAAAACCTATTTTTTTTTTTTAGAAAAGAAATTAAATTTTTAACCTTGTGCATGCATATTGCAGGAAGAAAAATAATAGCATGATTTGTCTTACTTATTAAAAAGCTTGATAGAAATAACTTGTTTGACACCGCGTTTTAAATTTAAATGCTTTGTATCTAAATGAGATAAATTCAAAACAATTCTACACCATATCAGTATGCCCTAAAACCCATCCGTTGATTTCAGTAAATTGTACGAGAGTACAAGTAGGTATGCTGCTGATTTTCCATTGAATTAATTATTTCCTATTCCTTTACAATCTTTCGCCCTCACCATCACAAAATCCCTTATATACCGCGTACTTTTTTTTTTTTTACAGTTGATCTAAATATTTCAAATAATTCAGTTTTTAAAAAAGGAGAGGAATCGAACATAAGAATCGAGCCCTCCCTTTCCTCACTTTTAGTTCTCCATAAGTTTTGTTAAAGGAATAAATAGGGAAGGGAAAGTCTTTAAAAAATTTTCTTCTCGAGAACCATTGGGCCAGGGTTTCTGAAGAAAAACAATTCTACATCATATCGGTAGGCCCCAAAACCTATCCTTTGTTTTCAGTAAATTGTACGAATGTAGATATGTTGCTGATTTTCCATTGAATTTATAAGTTACTATTCCTTTCCAATATTTATCTCTCACCACTCACCATCACTAAGACCCTTATATACCGAGTACTTTTTTTTTTACAGTAGATCTTAATATTTCAAATAATTCAGTTTTAAAAAAGGAGAGGTATAAAACCTGAGAATCGAGCCCTCCTTTTCCCTATCTTTTAGTTCTTTATGTAAAAATGTTTGATGAAGTGCAGTTTAGAGGTTTCAGTTGTGTTATTTTTCGTTTTCTCCTCTCCAGCCCCCAACCCATTTTATATGCGTTGCAAAGTATGTACCTAGCTCACAGATCGATGATCGTTGGTTTTTCTTTTCCTTTGGATGCATATGCAGTTAACCTGCTTTATGGGATTTATACCATTTTCATGAAATCTCTATCTCTCATGGGTCAAAAGTTATTGTGAAGGTTCAAAGAGCTACTAGTATTTTAGCATATACTTAGGACACAGTCAAGGTCACAAGGTCACAAGGTCATTGACCTTTGTGTCATGTGAAATTTAAGGGCTTAATTAGTAGAGTATGCCTGCCAAATATTAAGTCTCTATCTTTCTTTGTTCAAAAGTTTTGGCGTAGGTTAAAACCTAGAAATTTTCTCTAAGCTTTAAGTGAAACTGAATTTCGGTTGTAGGCGCATGCTAATATGCATATGGTCCTTTTTTAAAGGACAGTAAGCTGTTGGAAAACAACTGAGCTTAGCAGTATTCCAGAGGGACCAAAGGCAAGGACGATCAACACCTTTCCATAAGTTCAAGGAGTACAGCCCTAGAAGTGATTGGACGATCGATCGAAAGACTGACATGTAGATTGAAACTTATTAATTTGTTGTGATCCGGATAAGTCGATTGGGAAGAACTGAGAACTCATGTTGATCGGCATTTATTATACAGGAAACAATAAAACTTCCTATCTTTAAGATATTTTACATATCAAAAAACACAACTAGGTTAAAGGTAATAAATATTCTGTCTGTCTGTCACATTTCAAAAGTTTATTGATTTTTTTTCTCATATATGTGAAAGAGAACGGTGTGCATGTATGTGCGAGAGTGACTTCGTTTATCAAAATATTTAATTCCTTCTTTTGTAGATAAAGAGCAAGAGCCATCTTGTGCATAAAATGGCCCTGTACTTATATCAATTAATTAACTATCACCCTCTTTCCATTTTCAGATATCAAAATAAAGTAGACACTTTGTACTTTCATGTTCTATAATGAAATTTCGTTTTGAGAATCCAAATATTTGAAAACAGGCTTTGAGAAATTGCAATGTTCTTGAAATTTGCAGAAAATATGCGTATTTGACTACCTTCAGCAAAGAATTAAAATATGAGCACAGCCCACGATCCAAAAATTTAAACATGTTTTTCGATCTTCAGAAATAGGCCTTTCATTATGTATTGGCATATTTTGGATCAGAGGTTGTACTCTGTATGAAATATTGAAAAAACGCTTCAACTTTAGGTCATTTTCAAAGGAATTTACAGGATATTAGGAAAATTACGCATTTTATGTCATCATAATGAATTGACTAGATGTGAAATTAGGTCACAATTAATAGATACGTAGTCACCAACAGTCCAAGTGATAAATACTGCATTTGCAACCTAAACTGAGCGGCTTTGAATTTTCAGAAATACTCAGGGCCAAATAAGGCCCAAAGTGGCCCTACTTCTTTCTATTCATTGTGACGGGCTTAAGTGTGCGTTATTTGGAGATAGCCTGGCTCAACCACGTTACACCCCAAACCACAAAATAGAAGTTTATTGAAGACAAATTAAATGCATTATAGATAAGGGATTCTGTTACATAGTGGAATACCTTTCGTAATTTTACACGTCAAGTTAAGTAGAGGGTATGTAATTAAAGATATGCAAACTGAATGTACATAAAATTAAAAGGGTTTTATCCATGTAAGTTTAATATGTAATTTATAAATGGTTTTTATTTTCTTTCATTTTTAATTAGTTTATGAAGGGCTAGTATGGCTTTAAATGCTATTGTAACTGGATTGACCTTCTACACGTTCCTTCCGCTGGCTCCTAATTTGATCCTCTATACTACGTATCCTGTTTTCTAAACCGTTCATTCTGCGTTCATAAAACAGCCCTCTCGCACTGTGTAATTCAAATGTCTTTTTATGGACACAAGAACAAATGCATCCCGAAAGAACACATGTGATTATTATAATAACGATGAATAAATTGATGGAGTAAAGGATGAGTTCTTGATCTGAGTCCATGCCGCACGATTCCTGTCCTGACCAACATATAGCTACAGCACCCCAGGAGAAAAAAAAAGCTGAAACCACTCACAAAAAGGCACACGATACATAAGCAGAAGAAGGAAATCAACTAAAAAATATATTAAAATATAAATTACAAACTTGATAATTTAACAATAAAAAAACTCATTGGATTACTGTTCATTATTGAAACGCTTTGAGGAGCAACCAAAAAATAAATAATCAAGTTATCGTTGTCTAATATTAATGGCTAAGGTTTGTTTGAAAGTAAAAGTTTACCAAGCGACTCGTCCTTTTGTATGGATTAAACCCATGATGAACGTCAGCTTTTGACGCTATATAGCCTAGAACTCCTGTCACCAATAGCTAAAAAGGAAAGGTATACTTGTTGTATTCATTACTGAAATGTTTGGCATTGTAAAATACAAATACGGAGAACTCAAACCTAAAAAATTAGATGTGATTAAATAGCGCAAAATCAATTCAAAACAATCAAAAATGTGAAGAGAAAAAAAGCATTCTGCGAGCATTGCATAAGCAATACATGTCCCCTACCGGGATCCCC